CCCAAGAAGCAGCTCCTGTGCTCAAACTTATGTTGCACCACAGTCTCGTGGACCCATTCCGGATCCTACACCCAAATAGGAAAGCCTTCTCGCTGGTGAAGAAGAACCATGCACAACACAACTTTCTCCTGGATCGATTACTTTATCACCTCTGAGAGTCTAATGGGAACAATTGAAGAAACTGACATCCTGGCACTGGCTTCTTATGCAAGACTGGACCACAAACCAATCGAGGTAATCTTCAACTTTGACCAGTATATTACCAAAGGATTTAGCTTTCACAAGCTAAACAACTCCCTTCTCCTAAGCAATTCCTTCCGAGAAGGAGTTATGACCTGCTCGCAGAACTCCAAGGGCATGTTATTAGAGGGACAGGACAGATGGAAATGGTTTCAAGACAGTTACCTCTCACTATCACAATCGGTAGCCCGTTTGTCCAGGAAATTAGCTAGAGACAGAAAGGCAAGGAAACAATCATTGGAAATAACATTGAGGATAGCAGAATCTAACCTTATAGATCAACCCTCGTCAGCCCTCTACTCGGCCACATTTGAACAAGCGAGAGAAGAATTGGCGCTCTGGAGACAATGGGAACTGAAAGGCTTACAAATAAGAGCATGTATGACAGAGTACAAACTGAATGAATCAATGACCAAATTCTTCTTCGCAAAAATAAGAGCCAACCAAAGGTCGAACTCAATAGAAGGACTCAAAGAATTATCAGGGGGTCAGGTCACGAGGAACAACAGTGAGGGTATGTTAGAAATCGCCAAAAGCTTCTATAAGGAGCTATATGAGACTAAGACGACCTCCTCTCCACCAGCGTCAGTAAGGGAAGCTAGATCCAAAATGTTGCAGTTCTTGGACAAGACGATTACAACAGAACAAACAACTAACTTGGATAAACCAATCACCATAGATAAATTAAAAGCGGCACTCCGCTACATGAACAACGATAAGTCTCCAGGAATTGATGGTCTTACCAAGGAATTTTGGGAACAAGCCTGAACGCTGATGGGAACGGACCTTCTCCACGTCTATCAGGATAGCTGGGACAAGGGCGGAATGGGAGAACTGCTAAGCAGCAGCGTGGTGACCCTACTATACAAGAAGGGGGACAGGGAAGACATCCGAAATTACAGGCCAATCTCACTACTCACCCTTCCCTACAAAATTCTAGCTAAAGCCTTAGCTTTAAGGATACTGGACCTCACGGACAAATGTTTCCACATAGACCAAGCCGGCTTCATCCCAGGGAGATATATACTAGACAATGTCCTCACTTTGAGTGAAGCAGTAAGGAAAGTCAAGGAGAAAAAATTGAATGCCGCATATGTTCTTTGACTTCGAAAAGGCCTATGACTAAGTGAATTGGGCCTTCCTGGATGCAAGCATGGAGAAAATGGGAGTGGGACCCAACTTCAGGAAGTGGGTCAGAGTCTTGTACAATGATGGATCAGGATGTGTACAAGTCAATGGTTTGCTWTCTGACCGTTATCCAATCTCCCGGTCAGTGAGGCAAGGGGATCCCCTAGCCCCGCCGATCTTCCTGTTCGTAATGGAAGCCATAGCATCCTTTTTGCACAAAGACCCTTCGATTCACAGACGTCCCGAGCTCAACACCGGTTCTCCCCACCATATCCAATTCCCAAAAGTGATAATATTCGTTGATAACCTCACTGTCCTCATTAGGGCATCAGATTCCTCAATCAATGCAATAGTCAAGGCAATGGAAGAGTTCAGGTTAGCTTCGGAAATGAAGATAAATTAGAAGAAAACGGTGGGGTGGTGGTTGTCAGAGGAGGAACTACCTCCAATGACAGGCCCAGAAGCAGAAATGACATGGGAGAGACCTGATAACCCCACGAGATACCTGGGGATAATGGTTACCAAGGAAGGTCCTTTCCCGCAAATGGCACAAAACTCGCTAACAAATCAAATAAACAGGATGGGAAGATGGGGCAACACATTTAACTCAAATGCTAGGAAGAGCTCTGACAATCAATACGTCCGTGTTATCGATGATGTGGTACATAGCTTCCATCTGGACCATACCAGATCCAACTATTAAGGAACTCAACAGCAGAGCGATGGCATACCTCTGGTCAGGTGACCCTAACAACACAAAGTACATTCCTACAATAGCCTGGCATTACATAACTAGGAGCCGTCAAAAGGGGGACTAGGGATAATCGACCCCAAACAAGAAACCAAGGCTCTACAGATCAAATGGGTAGTTAAACTACTGACCCAATCCAGGCTGGCATGGCACAAGTTGGCCCTGGACAGCATCAGATCTTTAGCTCCAGTCCAGACCCCAGATAATATGTCAGGCCTCTTTTGGATAATGAGCAAGGATTGGGCTCTGAAAACAGGCAGGAGAAGGCACGGGAAACTTCGCAGCAAGACGATACACAGCCCCCCACCCCTTACTGGACAACACTTATCAGGATTTGGAGGGAGATAATGCCTAAACAGGTTAAGAAACCCAAATCCAAAGAAGATGTGTTGCGGCAGCCTCTTTTCAGGAACCAGAACGTCAAAGACGAAGGAGACCAGCCTCTGTCGTTAGTAGGAGGTCAGAGATGGCTTTCTAGGATTAAGCACGGGATTTGGAAGGTGAGTCACATTTGGGACGAAGAGAAAAAAAGACTGGATTGATGAGAATCAGCTAAAGGTTCGACTAAAGGGCTGTCACCGCCGGGACGAGAATCTATCAACCAACAGCATCCCTGACAATTGGAAAGAGCTATTGAAAGAAGACTTTTCATGGAAACCAGGGGGATGGGGACTGGTAACACATTACAGTACCAGTGAAATAGTATCAATTCAATCGCAGATCTCCTGGTTCGGCTCGCGCCGGAGTCTTTATCTCCTTCCCCTTAGATCGATCGAACCCCAAATCCATTACCATTCAGAACACCGACCCACAAGAAGTAACTCCTACACGTTAAGAAAGGTGAGAGTATTGGGAAGTCGGCCGAAAACTTTATTCCATACGGAGACAGCAATCCAAGACCTTGAATTTGACCCAGAAGAATGGGCTTGGCCCTCAAAAGCTAGCAGATTACGTAAGACCCCCTCTAAAATAGCACAATACATAGTGAAGATGGGATACAGAAGGCTTCTAAGAACCAAAGATCCTGAGCCAGGAATCAAAGAAAGATGGACGAAAGTGCTTGGACAAAGAATAGAACCAATTTCAGAACTCCCTTGGCGAAAGTATAAGTCAATGCGCCCAGTCAAGATAAGAAGTCTCCAATGGCTGATCACCTACAACGCCCTCCCTGTGAATGCCTGGCTTCATGTCCGAAGAAACAACAACGATCCAAACAGTTCGGACCAGTGTACGGTATGCCAGATAACGAACAGGAGGATATAGTACACTGTCTGATCATTTGTAAACTCGCTACTGACCTGTGGACAAGAGTGTCAGCGCTATGGGACCAGTTATTCCCCTACCCGAACACCCAATCCAACTTCTCTTATGGACTAACACCTCCTCTTTCTCCAACAAATCGGAATGCATCTGGTTTGGAATAATCACGAAGGCTACGCTGTCGGCTATTTGGAAGGAGAGATGCATCAGGACAATCGGCAAGACTAGCAATCCAACTGAACAAGTATGGGCCACCACGAAAATGCTAATGGAAACCAATATCCGGTGCCAATAGAAGAAGGTCAGATTCCAAGTTCAGTAAAATCCAGAGAAGCAGCAAGAGCTGATATCAAGCTTTAACAGAGTGTGGCTAGTCCAGGGGAAGATAGCTGAGATACAGGCGTTACAAGTCAGATGGAAGGACTGGCACAATTCATCGGTTCCCTCGAGAAGGACAACTCCCGATCAGAAAGAACAACAGGACTTCAGGGTGACATAAATTCCAGCGTGACCGACTCAAACAGCAAGTCTTTGGGTTTTTTGCCGTATTGTCTAACTGATTGATTCTGACTAAGGATCGAAGAGGAAACCCAGAGAATGGCAAGCTGACAGTCAATCTTCCATGGGGTTTGGAGTAATCAATGCTGATCAGTGACCCTTCGCCCAGACAGAAGGGGGCGTGGGTGAGGTCAGTTATGTAAATTGAACTGCTATCACCTACAGGGGGATTAGGAACCGATCTGACGCTCCCGGCACCTTGTACTCCAACTATTATTAATTATTCTTCGAATAAGAGGGGAGGAGAAAAGGAGGAGGAGAGTGGTTGGCGAAGAAGAAGGGAATTATCATTGGTCTTTGCTGGTGTACATCTTCTTCTTCGTTCTTTCATCTTCTTCTTCTTCATCTTTCACTCTCTCTCCTCTCGAGTTCATTCGTTTCTTTTTGCAATTGGAGTTATTGGACGGCATTGTACTTTCTCATGAACGTGTACTTCGAAATTGGCCAGGATCATAACAGTTTTGTTTTGTTCGAGAAACAACCCGAGCTGATGCTAGGGGTGGCCTGGGGTGCTGATAGGAGCAGGCACCGCTAGCACTCCCAGGAAGGCTCAATCTATTGCCGGGGAGCATCATCTTGATCTTTACAAATTTCAGGATGAAGAGACAGACATGGCCGATACAGGTCAAGAAAGCGACGACTAGTAAATGAGACTGCGAGACTCTCCTAGACACAGAAGGACCCACCAATGAAGGACTCACTAGGGGGAGGAATTATGTCATTCCAGATGTTGTTGTCAAACAGTTTGGTCACTCTGGTTGATGGTACTAGAGTCAGCTGGGGGGACTAGACTGGCCCATTGCCCCACTTCCTGTGCTAAAGGTCACCCAGAGAATGCTGTTGGGTGATAAGGAGAGAGTCCGAGAGACACATTTGCTTCATGTATTATCAGTTCCCACTTTAATATATATCGGGAGACAATCAGAAGATACATCCGTTAAAATTGAAACGATACAGAGAAGATTGGCATGGCCCCTACGCAAGGATGACACGCATAAATCGAGAAATGGTCCAACTGTTTTTTTTTTTTTTTGGGGGGGGGGGGACGAAGAAGATAGATTACCCGCGAAGAATCTTTACAATTCTTGGTGCCAACGATTCATCAATCCGTCCGAATTTCTTTTGTGCCTGTGGAACCTCTGCCTGAGCTAGAACACGCTTGAGACGTACACAACCATCCATGAGAACTTCTCCTTCACAATCCCATTGGGTTAGGCACCAAACCTCCGGTGAAAGAATAATATCACCTGGAAAAGTGCAAGTAACAGTGAAGAATGGATAAGAATTTCAACAGTTGAGACCCTTGAGAATCAATGAAATAAAAAGAAGGAGGTGGAAGATTGCCAAACCCTCCCCTGCCAAAAGCATTGCAAACAGTGAGAGGAGGAAGTAAATTTGCAGATAAAATGCTCCCCAGAATGGAAATGGAGCCAGGGCCAAGGACCTGTTTTTTTAATGAAAAAAAAAAGAAAGAAGCAAGGACACCAACGGGCTTAGCTCAGTTCGTATACCCATAAGCTGTTGAAATGCAGACCTGAGTTCAAATCCAAATGGAACCAGATGAACAAAGAAAGAAGTAGGGACAACCACATTGAGTGCAAGATACCCTTGTTTGTGGAGACTGAGCACCATTACCGCCTTCCCCAGAGTGGAACACATGCATAGTGGCAAAAAATAGAGCCGTTCCTATGGTGGTGAATACAGCCATATCACCTATGTGTTTCGCTCTGGGAGGCCAATAATTGAGATATTGAAAGCAGCAAAGTATCATTATCTGAAACAGCAACTAAAGGCAGAGATTGGGCCTATCTCTCCAATCAGGCAGCAAGCCTCCTGAGTCATCGGATCAGATTTGATCTGAGGCCCAGAAGGATGACCGAAATCGTGGCCCAGAGGACTAGGCCAAGCAAACCGCCAGCATGGGTCTCAAGTTCTCAAACGAGCATCCAGGCCCTCCTGCTGTCTCAGCAGCCCAGTCCAGACGAAACGAGGAGACCAGTTACTAGCAGACAAAGGTCCAGCCCCACTGTGGACAAAAGTCTCCCTGGCAGACCGCCAGTAGCCAAGAACGTGTGGAGTTTGTGGACCATCGTGCCTGTTTGGACATGCAGGATCTGAAACGACAGCCGTAGGCCAGACAAAATCAAGAATAGACGAAAACCTGAAGAGTTAAAAAGAACTCAGGAAAAAAAAAAAAAAAAAAAAAAAAAGAACTCAGAAAAATAACAAAACAGGCAAACAGGCAAAAATGTCAGACAGTATCTGAAAGAAAAACAACCAAGGTCGGTCGTTTCGGGGAGTCGGTTTGTTTTGGTAATGTGGCCATTTTGGGAACTGTTGCATCGGGGCTGGAAGAAGAAGAAGAAGGAGGAGGAGGAGGAAGAAGAAGAAGAGGAGGAGGAAGAGGATGAGGAAGAAGAAGAAGAAGAAGAAGAAGAAGAGGAAGAGGAAGAGGAAGAGGATGAGAGAAGCGGTTAATGGAAGGCCCAAAATTCAGCGAATTTTTCACCGAAACAGTCGAAACTGCCATATTTCCCTGAATTTTTACTTTTTTCTTGGTTTTTCTTTTTGCCTGATATGTATGTGCTTCAGGCCCATTTAGGGTATATCTGTATTCAGTTTCGCCGTATTTGGACCAGTAACGAAAAACTTAGCAGAAGCACCGGACTTGAAAGCTTTGGCGAACACCGAAAGCTACTCCAAATAGGGTTTTGTAGTGCTCTTGCGTTTGATTTTTTTGTTTTTGTTTTGCCTGTTTTTTTTTTTTTATGTTTGTATTGTAACCCTGCATAGTTTGTTCGCAAAAGTTTCGACAACATTGCTTGTAGAAATGCGGCGAAAAACCCTGAATTTTTGGCCTTCCATTAACCGCTAGTGAAGAGGAAGAGGAAGAGG